AGAGAGAGAGAGAGAGAGAGAGAGAGAGAGAGAGAGAGAGAGAGAGAGAGAGAGAGAGAGAGAGAGAGAGAGAGAGAGAGAGAGAGATGTACACACGCACAAGTATGGCTGGTGCCACCTTCTCTTCCTGGACAGTGCCGTATACCCTTGCTTGTGATGCGTTCTGAACAGAATTGCCCACCCTACTTGCAGCCCTTAGCCAGCATGTTCTGGCTGGCATCTGGTCATCTGGTCTGTCCATATAGCGAGGCCGAGGTCCAGTCTGGCCGCGCCCACTGGCGTTTTACCCACGGCCACTGCTGAGCCTTGCACGTTTGTGCAAACCACTCTTGGAGCAATATTATTTCTGTTCTTTTTGCTTGATTATTATTATATTTTATTATGATTATTCAGAACTTGGCTCTTGATGTTGTTGTTGTCTCACAAGATCTGGCTCATGATGTTGTTGTCTTCTCACAAGATTTGTTTGGATGATCTCAGAGCTCTCTTTCATGTGTGGCGCTTATCTGGAAGGTGAACGGTTGAATCACACATACAAGGGGTAAATTAGTTTCCATACCGGGTGTAAATCGATTCTCTTTGATAGCGGCCATCATGCCATTGGGGTACTGGTGGCAGTTTGACAATCCAGACACACACAAGACATGTACGATACATAATGGATCCTCACACTGAAGAAGAGTGAGTATGTGCGGCGAAAACTGAGCAGCAATCATTTTTCCGGGAGGGCAAGAGGCATCCGTAGTTATTGACAGTGCTCTCCACATTTTGGCATGTCGTTTATGGGATAGTGGTGCATGGGGGGGGGTGTTGTGCTATGCTGATAAAGGATGCCTATGTGTCTGCCATAACAGATCTGTGTACAAGACACGGTTGTGGTGGGCTGCTGAATCGGGGCAGAGAGCCACAAAGCATCAAGACTTGGAGATGGTTGTTTCAGGTGGACCTGCTAGCAATGCCGATGAAGAGACAGCATCGCTTGTCTATCGGCAGACAAACACTCCCAATGGATTGACGTCTAAAGGCCCTGAAGGGCCTAAACTGAATTCTACATCTCTGGGACTAATCATGTCAGTCGCTACAGCTGGAATGAAATGGGCAACTTGGGCAAACATGATTGGGATTGTGCTGACTGTGGTAGGATATGCCATCTTCACCACCTCCGTTCTGCTGACTGAAGAGGGCAAGCCCACGTCGAAGGCCAGCCAGTATGTAAGATATCATGAGTACTTCTTGACTGTTCAAAGCAACGACTCTGCAGCAGAGCATCTGAAGGCACTTACTAATAAGCCCCATGTGGCAGGCAGGGAACAGAATTTGAAATTGTAAGTTATGGCTTTGTTTTGGGTTCTATAGCTTTGGCTGTCATTATCCCGGGTCTCATATGTGTCTGTGGTTGGTTGAAAAAGCATTTGCATCAACGGAAAAAAAAGAAAAAAGTCAATAAAGAACATGAAAATAAAACAAAGTAAAGCACAGAAAATTGAGGGAAAAAAATTCTCAAACATATATCTGTTATGATCCTTGCTATCTTACAGTGGAATAACTCAAAGAAACTATAGTTGCGGCGCACCAGTGCGCAGTGCGCCGTGCGCTGGAATTCCAGTGCGCGCACTGTGCGCTGTGCGCAGTGCACAGTGCGCGCGCTGTGGGTGGTGCGCCAGGTGCGCGAAGAAAAAAAAAAACAAACCTTTATTCGTGCTACACAGAGAGAGAGAG